TTTTCTTCTAAATACATAAAAAATTACACTTCAATTTTTCTCGTGGGGTCAAGCCATATGAAGTTTTGAGTTTATTTTTACGTGTTTCTTTTGCGTCTTTTTTTTTGTAAGTATGGCGCAATCCACAGAGTTTAAGTAATGTATCATGACACATCAACGACAAAGAGAAAATGCATTTGTAGTGGTAATAAGGGATGAGGTGATTACCGGCACTACGATTTCAATAGACGTTATTCATTATTAGCGCCATGTTTCGGCGGCTGCCTGCACTATCAGAGGCGCCGCGTCATGTTTGACGCTTCACAGGCCCGACCTCCGGCCTCAGTACGGACCCTATTCTCTCAGCAAAGCGATCGTCGCCTGTTCTTTTCTTTTTAGGTGCATTAAAGGTGTCAGCCGTTCAAGAATAAATTGCGAATATTATCAAGCTCAAGTGTGTTGTTGGGGATTTTACAAAGAATTTCTTTCAAAACATGAAATGCTTTGTAACGGAGCCCCCGAATCCCAACATTTTGTTTGTGCGTCCATCCATCCCTCCGTGCATTAACCGTTAAATCTTGCTGGAATATTGACGTCAGGTGACCCATACGTCGATCCTGTTTCCCTTATAGATGTAGCGGAAAATTTTACGTCTTCTCACTTAAACACAAATTTAGTTTACCCTCTAGATTTACTTTGGAAATCGACGTCACGTGACCTCATCACCAATTCAATTTCGCCGTTAAATCTAGTGGGGAAATATACCTCCCGTGACACGCCAATCGCCTCTCCCCATTTTTCTATTTACTTCCTCCTCCCTCCCTCTACCCATACCTTCCCTCTAGGGTGTCCTCAGCATCTGCCTCCTTTACGCTTGCTCCCCATCTGCCTTCAATCACATACTTTTCCCTTTCCTCTTCCTTTTTTCCCCATCCCTCCCCTTTTTTTCCTGCGATACGTATCTCCCTTTTCCTCTTTCTTACTCCCCCTCATTGGTCATGTGGCACACCGTATCAGTTTCCCCATTAATTATAGACCGTACCATTAGGGTCATAGCAGAGAGGGTAAAAAGAAAAAAAAATGCCCTCCCCCTCTCGCCGCATGTCGTCTGCTCCGCCGAGTGGGCAGTACCTAGCATCCGGCTGGCGTACAAACTCTGTTTAAAATCGTGTCATTTTGGGAATTTCAAGCGCAGGTGCGCAGATGTTGGTATGCCAGTTATCGTGTATTACTATGCTAGATAAAAAAGACTAACAGAGTCCAATTGCGCTGTTAGCTGCGTGCCAATAACAACAAAAAATAGAGAAAACTATGTCAGACTGGCCAGTCTCTCCGGCGAAAAGTGAATCCGGTGGCTGTACTTTTTTTACTATACAAAGTTTGTACTGGTGCAGGCCTTTAACGACCATGAGTGGATGTCTGAAATAATAAATAAAAACGTGCTCTCCTGCCGCAATACACGCAGTAGTTGAGGCTAGTACTGCCGGCTGACTCAACTGCTATTTAAGTAACGGAAAAAAGATATGTCCGTTGAACATTTACCGAAGTAGAACAACAGAGAGCTATAGGCTGATTTTGGAGTAGCCACAACGCGAACCACTTCATAACGGCAGCCACGAGCGAGAGTTCGATGTTTCGTACAGCCCGCCGATACAGCCCAAAGATGGAGAATGGCAACCTCCCGTTTTGTCGTCTGCTAGAGGAGTCGGGCGCGTGCCCTCTCTCGTTTTACGCCGCCGAACCCGGTGAATTTCCCGGATGTATGGAGAGGGCGCTGCTGTCGAACAAAATGGTGCCGTCCGGAGTGCGCTAAATGGAATGCTCTATAGCACGGAAATATGAGTCATGTGACACACCGATCCCCTCTTCCCATTTCTCTCTCTCTCTTTATCCTCCCTCGCAATCCCACTCCTCAACCTCCTACAGTGCCTCTCCTCCTCCCCAACTGCCTTACTTCCCCTCCCTCCCCTTCCTCTTTCCCCTCCCCATCCCCCTCCTACATTGTACTTCCTCCCTTCCCTCTCCCCCTTCCTGCTCATGGGACAAACAAATTCAATTTCCCTAAATTTATAAAAAGAACTTGGAGGAGGGTTAAGCTTCGCCTTTAAAAGGGCACTGACAGGTCAAACTAATTTTTTTTCCGAAACAATGGAAAAAGATTTTTGCACATTACCCCGAAAACTCGAAACTTGGAAACTCAGTATTTGTGATGTAAAAATGAAAGGATAGAAATCTCTGTAATTCGATATTTCGGCGCAGCTCTTGAGGAGGAGGAGATGTGGGTACGGAGGGGAGGGTATGTCCCTCCTCTCCCTCCGTACCCTTCCCCTCCTCCTCCTCCCCTCCTCATCTCCTCCCCTCCTCCACCTTCCCCCTCCTTCTCCCCCTCCTCGTCCTCCGTACCGTCCCTCCTCCAACCTGGTAACCTCCCCTCCTCCTCCTGCGTACCCATCCTCTTCTCCTCCTCGATAAATTCACCTCTTCCCACAGTTTCCCCGCTAAATTTAGCTGGAAAATTGACGCCACCTGAGCTCAACACTAATTCTGTTTTCCGCTAAATTTAGCGGAAAAAGTGACTTCACGTGACTTCGTGTAACTTCACCCAAAAACTATTCAGTTCCTCTGCTAAATTTAGCGAGAATATTGACGTCACATGACCTCAACACCAATTCAATTTCCCGCTAAATTTAGCGAAGCGGTCACGGCGACGGCGACGGGGACGCTTACGGCGACGCCGCCAAGCGCAGGAACGGGTGCCTAAGAGTTGCGCTCTATAAACAATTTTATAAAAGCCGGATTTAAAGTTCTCGGGCGATCCGCGCCAGTGCAGGGACGTCGAAGATTGAGTCGTCCTGCAATTCACGTTTCTCCCATGCACCCATTTCGTGTTCGCCCGCGGCCCCTCGAAAGACGCTCCGGGCGGCCCGCCTATCGCTGTGAGCAGAGGACGCTTCACTTTCGAGTTGGAACTTATTTTAGGGCTCTTTCATCGATCTCAAATACTTTGAAACGTTGTGAGGTCAAAGAGAATGCGCAGTGGACTTTAGTGAGCGACGTGAGGGGCTAAATCGCGCCGGTTCTGCGGGAAAGGCTGCGCCAGCGGAGTCACAACCGAAACTAGGATACACAGACACCAAAACCAGTTGTATTGTCCGTTTGACGATTTCCTTTCCGAAGTCTGAGAAGTCGTCGGGCACCTAAACAAGAGAGCTTCGTCCGATTCCTCGGCTCACCAATCATCACTGCTACATGCGTCGAGCGCCGTCATTTTTTCCAAGGGAGCATCGAAAGCCACGAGGCGACATCACTCCGGACTCCGATTTTCGGTATTTCAAAAAGGGCCGTAGTGCGTTCGCAATAGCGTTAAAAAAACATGTCTTACGAATGCGGTATTAAATATTATAAGAATGTCGCTTACAACGCTTCTAAACTTCATATCCAGTTACGTCAAAAATAAAATGAGGCGAGGAGGCGTTGAGGAGCGGGAGAGAAAAGCGCCAAAAATAAAAAGGCGCGCGCGCGCGTAAGAAAATATTTTTGCGTGTTGGTATTTTTTGCGTGTTAATTACTACAACTTGTATCGTCTTGGACAACAAAAACAAATACAACTTTTAGGGTGGCAGTGCCCTTTTAAGCGTGGAACGCGAGAGCGTTATTGGGCCCCGTTCGTCGAACCGTTTCAAAGAAACCCGCACTCGTCTCCAAGCCGTACAAGCGTGTGTGCGTGGTCTAGTCGGTAGCTTAACGTGTCACGTGATGTGCTGCCAAATTTAGTGTGTGGATAGGGTCATGACATCACAATCACGTGTCACGTAACACGGGACTGTGACGTCGTGGCTCTATCACCCAATCATGATTTTCCGGTGCCACCGACGCCGACGCAGATGCCAGATTTTCAGCGACAGGAGCTCAAGACTCCCGAAATTATCGCTCTTAGAATCCGCATTTCAATCGCTATCGACCAACACACTGTTCAGAAGACAAGCCCGCGTTCGCCCACACCAGGTGTGAAAACGCACGTGCGCAGAGACCGGATTCGCGCGACGTAAAGCACCTGCGCGTGCTCAGTACAGACAACAGCGCCACCGTAGTGGCGTGACGTCAGAGAGTTAAATTGGTCTATTGACCTGAAAGTAAAGGTCGCTGTGACTGTTTTGAATAAAAATTAACTTTATTTTATACTTGTTCACCCCTAAATGGACAGGCCAGTGGAAACTACAGTATACGTCCTCGTTAGACCAATAGGACGTCGATACACGTGATGACGCCCATACCCACGCGTAGAGAGCACAAAGAGTATCCAACTGCTCATCCAGGGTCACCTGGTCTATGGGCCGCGTTTGCAATACCAGCTGCGAGGATGTGACGGCGTTGGTCGTCTGCAAGCGGCTTTTCCTATTGGCTACGCGACAAGGCAGTGCATGAGCAATTGCGACCAAGGAGGGCGCCTCCTGCAGAGGTTGTTGTTGTAAGCCTTGTAGGAGGGTTGGGTGGGAAAGTGAGAGCGTACGCGATTGGCTCTCACTTTCCCCCAACCCTCCCACAACGCATACAAGAACAACCTCTCTTAAATTGCAATCCATGGGTTGAGATGGACATTCTTGTCAATCTAGGCTCTCTACCCACGCGCAGGGGGCGGGTGATAAAAGGGAGGGAAAGAGTACATTTTTCTGAAGCTAAATCTGATAGACAGCTTGCGTTTTTCTGTGTGTGTGTCTTTTTTTTTTTTTTTTGTTTTCATCATGCTGGTGAATTGGCTTGGGTAGCGCAATGTGTTTTTGTTAGTTGATGGTTCATTCTATGAATATAAAAATTAGGTCACTATTTTACCCGACTGTATTTACCCTCTCCCCAGCAATAATCTGTCTGGGGCTGCGGGGTAATCTGGAATAAATAAATATTACGGATTACTTAAATAAGCGTGTCCCCCCCCCCCCCCCCCCCCTTATGGTTAGCAATTTAAAATTCAACAACCTTTGTTTAGAGACATCCAAAATCAACTCGTCCTTTTTTCAATTGCAGTCAGATTTTCGCACTTCCTGATTCATCATGGGGGCATCTGTACTCTCCATGGTGCTTCTACTGAATGGTACGTTACACACAAACTTTGCAATCGTCTTGATTAACGCAGCCATCGGTAGAGAAATCAAAATGCACAACTTCCAATTTTGCAGCATCTGTAAACTACTGGTCCGATGAAAATATTCAAGATACGATTAATGGCAAAAAAGGTGGTGAGTGTTAAAAGTCGCAATATTCTCCATTATAATTTTCAGATTTGTTGCTATGATTTCTTTATTACTCTGCAGGAATCTATAGAGCCAATTGCGAAAGTTTTAAAAGTTTTTTTTTTTAACCTGGTAGTCAAACACTTAAAATAACACTACTTAACAGGCAATTAAGCAATAGTCGGCGGACTATACTTTTCTACGAGCCATTCAGCAACCGGAGTTTTTGTGTCCAGTTCTAAAATAATTTCACAAACGCAAAAACTGCTCCATAAATCTCTCAAAGTCTCATGGCACTCAGTATGTGGTCAAATTGGTTTAACCTATATTTGTAAATGCCGTCAATACTGTAATCGCAGCATTACATTGCACCTAGGCTGACCACCTTCCTGCTAAAAAAGTATATTAGAAGGAATTTATTAACACGCACAGCATTAAATGTCGCTCTGCTAACACATTTCATATCCAGTGTTGTCCAAAAACATATACACCTCCCAACTGTATTCCGTGCCAGAGTATCGAAGCAAAATTCTTATCGCTTCTTTTTCGCTTTGGGTTCAAGGCTTTCGGGTCAGTTCCGGTTCAGCTCCAGGAATCAAAAGTAACAGTTCAAACCGGTTTGAACCGCGAAATTGTGAATTTATTTTATGCGTCGTTTTGGTGATAGGCACCATATCCGCCGTGTAACAAGTAGCTATATACCATTTTTTAAGCTTTAAATATTTGCCAAAAAAAATCCGTGAAAGCTACAGTCATCCGTTTTTCGCAGGTGAGATATACGGCCAAGGGGGCGTAATACAAGAGGCTTATGGTAACGCTGAGATTGATATTTAGATAAAAATTCTGAATTAACTTTCAAATTAGCGATATGAAACATATGGTTCCAACCAAAAACTCGTTAAGCCTCATCGAAAAACACTAAATTACCCGATTTCAGAAAGACTGTGCGCGTGAGAAGCGCAGTCGCGCGCTCAATTCACCCGTCGTGCTGCAGGAACAAAGAGGCTACCGTTGCGATAAGGCTGTTGCTCGATTTTTCCGGCTCTCATCTTAGCACCGGCCTTGTACCTGCTGCACGAGTGGTATTTTTAGCTCACCACTACGCTCCGCACGCGTTCAAAGTATTCCTAAAAATTGTTGATTTAGTGGTTTGCGATGAAGCTCAGAATGTTACATATTGGAACCATATGTCGATTTTAACAAATCAAAAAGTTATTGAACAAGCTTTGCTTAATTATCCGACTGATCTTTACGATTAGCCCCATATACTATTTCCCCCTGGCCGTAAAACTCATCTCGGGGGGGGGGGGGGGGGGGGGGCACTTGACCTGGGGGTCACGTGACCTTGCGGTTACGCCGACGCTGACGCCGACGCTTGCGCTTTAAAAAAAAGAAAGCCGTTAACAACTCCCTGTAACACCGAATTAGAGCGCACCTCTTCAGGAGGAGGAGGGAAGGGTACTGAGGGGAGCATATACCCCTCCTCCCTACTCCTCACCTCCTCATGGTTCCTGCTACTCGTCCCTCCGAGCGGCGTCGGCGTCGCCGTCGCCGTCGGCTTAACCGTGAGGTCACGTGACCTCACGAGGGTTACGTGGCGTCATCGGGGTCACGTGACCTCACGGGGATCATTTGACCTCACGGGGGTCACGTGACCTCACGGTTACGCCGGTGGCGACGGCGGTGTCGCTCAAGCAGGAAACGGGCGCCTAAGAGCTGTGCTCTAAAATTACAAGACGATACATTGCTTCATGAATTCTTGGAGAATGTGTTAGCATGACCCTTGGAATGCCACGCACGTCCTGCTTTAGGAAACGCTAACGCTGACCCCTTCACTTTTCATTTAGAGCGCAGCTCTTAGGCGCCCGTTTGCGGCTTTAGCGGCGTCGGCGTCGTCGTCGGCGTAACCGCGCGGTGCATTTTGGGACGCATGACGTAACTGATGACATCAGCAGTGACGTTACTGATGACGTCATCGGCATAGGTATTGTCACTGATGACGTTATCAATAACGTCACTGATGACGTCATCTTCATCCGCATCGTCATCGTCACTGATGACGTCATCAGCGACGTCACTCATGACGTCATTGGCATCCGCAACGTAATCGTCATCATCACTGATGTCGCCATCAGTGACGTCACTGAAGACGTCATCGGCATCCGCATCGTCATCGTCATCGTCACTGATTACGTCAGCAGTGGCGTCACTGATGACGTCATCGTCATCGTCACGTGATCCCCCCGAGGTCACGTGTCCACCCTCCCGAGGTCACTTAATCCACCTCCAGTACCCTTCCCTCCTCCTCCTCAAGAGCTGCGCTCTAATTAGGCGTTACAGGGAGTTGTAAACGGCTTTCACTCTATTTAGGCTTTCTCTTTTGCTTCCTATATATTTTGCTGCCTCTTTTTGGCCTCGTTACGGGGTCAGTGTTAGCGTTTCCCATAGGGAGACGTGTGTGACGTTTGCCAGGGGTCATGCGAACGGATTCCCTAAGAGTACTCGTGGAAGGAACCGCATCCACATCACTCGTGGAGGAAATCGCATCCATCGTTTTAACTACACACACATCCCAGCCCCCGCACCACTGCCACGTAAACCTAGAGCGAAGAACATCAGGCGACGGCAGAGTGGCAACTGAGCCGGCATTCCGGCGCGCTGCGGCGCAACACCTCCTAGATAACAAAGCCGTAGTGCTCTATGAGATGCCGTCATCAGACAAGGCGAACGCTGGACACAGATTGGAAACGAGTTATGCGTCAACGTTGGGCTCAAACTTGACTCGAAGCCGAGCGCTCACGCAGCACTCGATTGCAATCTGTGTCCCGCGCTGGCCTTCTCTGATGACGCCATCTCATTCAGCAGCACGGCTTTGTTACCTAGGAGGTGTTTCGCTGCGCCTCCTCTCTGGCTCCGTGCCAGCTGTGCGCGTGTTTTCGACGAAAATGAAAGGGCTCGTTTTGACGAAAACCCGGCGGTGTCTGTGAGTTTCCCAGAGCCGGGAGTGAGGGAGAGCTTGACAGGCGTGCTGAAGTCAGCTCTTCGGACGAATGGGAGCGGCGCACGCGTCACCCTCTCCCCTCCATTTTACCTCTCTCCCAGACGCTGATATATAAAAGACATCACCGTGTTGTACGATAGCCTATACGTTAGCGTGAAGACGCTAACGTATACAGGGTCTTGTAATGATAATTCATTACAACACTCTTTATACTGCGTTAACCCCTAAAGGGGCAGTGTAATGATTTTAATGTTGAAATAAGTGGCCGTTTGCATTTTTATATTGTTCATGCAACCCCAAGTGACCAAAAACGCGTCACCTTTCCCTGAAGAACTGCTATTCTTCTGCGTAATCACAAAGCAAAAAAAGAATTATTTGCCGATCTGCAGCCGCCTGTCGGGGTTACGGGAACTGAATTGACACCGTCTCTGGGGGTACGCGGAAGTCAACAAAACCTCCGCTGCTATACTCGCCGTCAGCACCGTGGCGAAGCGTCCTTTGTGTCCGTCGCTCGCCGCGGCCTTCGACGAGGCTAATCCTTTCAAAGTCGACAATCGCGGAGGAAGCGGCTGGTCTCTGGAGAGTGAAACCCAAGGGGAAACTACGTGAACTTCCCGAGTACGTCACTCGAAAGTCAACGTGGAGACTGGAGAGGCACTTTGACCTTCGATTTGTTTAATTTTTGTTTTTTAAGAACTAGCGCTCGCAAGCAAGTATACAGTTTTCTGCTTTTCGTTCCATAGGCGACGCAGATTAATTTCTGCAGTTAATTGGCCATTGTCTGAAAATTATTGCACAGCCCCTTTAAGCTTAGACAACGCGGGAGCTACGTGCCCTGCAGACCAATCAGCCACCTCCCTCTTATCTGACCCGTATCTCCGCTGTTAGGTATGGGCGGGCGGGTGCGTGATGACAGGGCGAAAGAGAAGCGTATGACTGCTCCAACGAGGACGTAGCTTCCACCCCAGTCTCAGCTTAGAAGTGAACGGAGTATAGTTTTTCATCGTTCGTACAATCCACTTTTATTTTCAGGTACCATAAATGAGAAATTGCGTTCTTTAACTTCGACAAAACAGTAGAAGAACATCGTGATCAACGTACAAAACGCAGTATTTATATGAATCAAAATCCATTTGTTTAAACTCGCCACATATATTTTATTTGAAACAAAAGGTTGTCACAAGGTCTGGTAGCACACCTAAAATACCGGTGATTGGAACAACTTTTCATCCCAGTAAGAAACGCTGAATCGTAAATGCGCTCATAAACTAAAGAATAATTGCGGCGCCTAAAATCATGCAATAGGCTCGTCGTTATTTATATTATGAAATATGGTCTACAAAACATGTTTATAATATGCAGGGTGGGCCGTAAGGACCAACACATTTGACACGCCTTGCAAGATTCAAATTCAAAATGCACATACCTGAAATTGGGCACGCGAACGTATTTAGTTAAGATGTTTTACTGAAACATTTTTGGAGCTCAATTTTTAGATAGTGACGTATTAAAAATACTTTATTATTTTAGTGTAACCCTCATAAAATAGCAACAGCCAGCTACAGATCCTTCCTGACCACAGCCAGCGAGAGGACTGAATTCCTATGGGGGTTCTTACATCCCTCATCTTAAAAACCTACGTTCATCTAGGATGCAGCGAAAGGCGAGTCTGTTACTGTCATAGGCTGCGAGCCCCTTGCGGTTGATATGTGCGGCGTTTTTGAAAAAGGACCAAAATTTCGTACTGAGCCCCAACAGCCTGGAGTTCATATGGTGTCAAATGCCCACTACATTGCTACTAAAGCTCAAGAAAAAAACCCACAGAGTTGCGTTTATGATTGGTACTACTGAAAGCAGACG